TTCCCCTTCTTCTTCTGGGATACCATCAGGCATAGGTTCGGCCTCTTGATATAACTGCACATTTCTTGTAGGCTTTGTTCTTTTGTTCTGAGCCTTCTATGTTTTTTACAGATTAAATAAATTCCATGTTCTGATCTTCAAGTTCTGAGATTCTTCAGTTAGATTAATTCTGCTTTCCATGCTTGTCATCTTGTTATTTCTTTACTGGATAAAATTTTGTATTACCAAAATCTCTGTTACAAGCTCTTTCAGTGTTGCATTTTGTCTTTCATGAGTCTCATTCACTCTTTCCATCCATTCCCTAATCCCTGTCATATTCTGGGGACAGTCATTGGTAACTTCCATTGTTTGGGCTCCAAGATCTGATTTTTCAGGAGTTTTCTCTTTCTAACACTTGAAATTGCCTGTGGTTTTTCCTCATTTGTGACAAATCTCTTGTTTTTCTCTGTTATTCAGTATCAGTGGGAGAGACTTTCCCTTCTGATGTTTGCTTAGCCCTCTATTCTTCCCTGATCTGGGCTCTGAATTCGTTCTATTTTAAAATCAGACTGTGAGTGGGAAGTTTTGCTGTCTCTTGTAGGGTTTGAAAGTCAAATAAGGTAGGGGATGGGGCGCTAGGATTCAGGAACTACTTGCAAATTATAATGTTCACTGATTGTGGTATGTGTTCCCTGAGACCCACTCCCCACCACCACCACCACCACTCTATATGATGATGCAAAGCAGAAACCAATGCAAAAAAAATTGAACACACACACACACACACACACACACACACAGAGACATACACACACACCCCAAAACAAACTGGAATAACAACAAAGTGAAAAAAAAAACAAGCAACAAAAAAGCCCCAAGAAAACTGAACACACACACACACACACACACACACACACACACGCCTAGCACAAAGTGAATGGAGAAGAAAAACAGAAAGGTCAGGGGAGGAATTCAGATTGCTTAAATACTGATGTCTTTGGAGTTCTTCCTCATCCTTTTCTGGGCACACCCTTTGTCCCTCGGCTGGTTGGTGGTGGGGTGCCTGGGACTCAGAACTCATCAAGTCCCTCTGACGTTTGTGCTCTCAGGATATTCCCTCTGGGTCACGATCAACCCCTGAGTAGTTGATCTTCCAGGCACAGAGATCAGGTCTGTTGCTCCATGAGCAAGTCAGAGTACTTTCCTGTCCTGCCTTCAAGATGGTGGTGGGGTGCCTCTCTTGTTCTCTTTGGGAAGACTCTGCCTCTGGGCTCCCTCTGCAGCCCCTGCTGCCAGTGCCTGGCCAGGCGCTGAAGTGGTGAGGCAAAGCCTGGAGCCAGCAGTCTCTCCTGCTGCAGTGGTGAGGCATAGCCTGGAGTAGTCTCACCCCACTGCTTCTTTACAGGAAAACTTTTGTCTGTTTAAAAAAAAAAGTCAATCATGACTTTTTATGAGCTCACAAAGCAAATTATATTGACTAATAAATACATGTTGCTCTAAAAGGTTGTTCAAGTGATAACATTTGGATAAAATTAGCTTGAGAACTAGTCAGCTATTTTTTAATTTTTATTTATTTATTTATTTTTGTGACTGTGGTCATTTTGTTTTATCTTTTTTGTGATATTTTAGGTTTTCTTTGTTTATTTATATAGATATTTTTATACACACAAATATATGTGTGTGCATGTGTGTATATATATACACACACATAAAGATTGAATGAATTACATATTATGTTATTAATATGTGTTATACATAATATATAATGTATATTTTTATGTAATAAAATATATATTAACATATTATTTATATATTATATATAAATTATGAAAATGTATATCTATAATCCATTCAGTATTTGTACCAAGCACTGTGCAAGTTGCTAAGATATAAAATAATTAAGATACTGTTCCTGGTGGTGGGAGACAAGAGTCAAGTAAAATAGTTTGATTTTTGAATAATTATTCCAGTAGCAACAACATCTAAAAATGTTTAAATGTTTAGCTGGTAGACCACCTGCTGGATTTACAGACCATCCATTCTTTCAAATAGTGACTTTCAACCCAGGCTGCTCATCACCAGGGGACATTTTAAAATAGAGCTTCCCAGTTTCACTCCCTGAGATTCTCATCTAGTTGGTCTGAGATGGAGCTCCAAGCAGTGTTTTTGAAAGACTTACCTGATGATCCTAATGGGCACCCATATTGAGAACCATGGCGCAGTGTCCTGGAGTGAGGGTACTCACATCCTCACTCATTCTTGGCTCATCCTCCCTCTCCATACCCAGGCGATCTGGTTCCAAAACTTACCCTCGTCTCTCCATACTGTGGCCTCTTAGAATCAGGACTAGTTGTTCCTCTCCTGATCACTAGGTCACATTTTTATTTTAGAGACACTGTACATTTTTTCTCTGTATGAAGCAAATGCTGACCAGCTCAAAAGCAGTTCAAGGCCCACCTTCTGCAGATGATGCACAGACTCTATGGAATGCATCTTAGTATTAGCTTCAGGCTCTGTGCCAGTTGATACCCCTTCCTTTAGCTTTTCATTTTTCATTCCCATTTAGTTCTAGCTTATACTGTCTTGATGTGCTTTTATTTATCCTTGTAACTGCATCTGATTCTTCTAGAGAAGTGATATGTATTTATAACAAATGACTAAATAAAGGAAAAAACATACCCCAAACAGTCACAAATAAACATACATAGAAATAACCAGAAGAGTGTTTTTGCAAGCCTATCTGCTTCTTGAAGGGTGTTCAAGGAAGACAAGATTAAATGAGTAGGGAGGGGAGTTATTGGTGAGTTGAAAAGCAGATGACCAGACTTAGAGCATGCACAGATAAGTAGTCAGGGAATGCCCGTAGAGGACAAAACTCCATGGCACACTAAGTGTACAAAGGAGACACGAGCCTCCCAAATAAAGACAAGCTGGGCAGTCACAACCCAAGAACATGATGAAGGACAAATGTTTTCTTTTTTTTTTAATAATCAATATTTTTTATTATGATATTGTGGGGTACAGTTAAGGGTTAGGTATACAAATATGCTTCGTTCAGTCACCCTTGTTGATAAGAGGTGTCTTCCCGTCCCCAGACAGATATTTACTACCGTTAATCCCATACAAATAAGGACAATTCATAACTTCTTAGTGCGACTCTAGTTCTAGAGGAAGAAGGAAGGGGTGATGAGCTGAGGGGGGATTGAACTTAGAGATCTTCCCAAAGGCGGTAAAATTGAGGCTTTGGTTTTGACAGAGGGGAAAGCCATATGCATAGAGAAAACAAGAGATTCCAGACAGCACCACAACTGTACACTGATGGTTTGGAAGACTTTCCTCCCCATCAAGTAAGAGGTAGTGAGGGGGAAGGCAGGGAAAGCTGTACTGATGAAGAACTGAATAAGGAAAGGATGAGTTTTGCAAAGACTGTGGGCATTATAGTGAAAGTTCATAAGGAAATGCTATAAAAAGGGATTCATTCTTCATTTGACAAGAATTTATTGAGCATCTAGTATGTGGCAGGTACTGTTTTAGGTCCTTGAGGTTACTGCAGTAGATAAAACAGATACAGACTTTGCCCTCAAGAACCTTATAATATAAGCAGTAGGCATTAATTAATGACCCAAATCATGACCTAATTGCAAGCTGTGAGGAGTACTTGGAAGATGCAGTAGATAGCTACAGGTAGGTAAGGCTGGGTGGAATCTGGTTTAAGGTTCAGGAAGACTTTCCAAAGCAAGGAAGATTTGAATTGATTTAATCTGTGTAGTAGTAGAAATCTGCCAGGGGAGGGGGGCCATACATCATCAACAAGGGCACCTTCATAATGTACATTTGTATACTTAACTCTGAATTGTATCCCACATCTTTAAAATAAAAAATAAAGATTTAATCTGTGACCATAAATTAAGTGGAGACCTTTCAAGGAGAGCTGACAGCAAAAGGCCCTGAAATGGGAAGAAATGTTGGCATTAAGAAACCCCACAATCCCATATGATATGCATACATCAAGAAAAGGTCCCTCTCAGTGGATGTTGATTAGAGCCAGAACACACAGCTGGCTGAACAAGGTGGATCTCAGTCCTTCTTGTCCCTTCAACTGAGCTCTCTCATTGCATAGGTCTGTAGGCAAAAGGAATGTGCCTTTGTAAATTTGTGTCCCAGTACGACTGAGGAACCAAGGATGACATGCTTGGAGAGTGGAGACAAGGAGAAGAAGTAGGACAAGGTGAGCTAAACTGCCAAACTGGAGCTCTCTGTGAATGCAGGGGCTCCCTGGCTGTGCCACAGGCTTTGGGTTTTAGTCTAAGACCAGTGTGAAGGCTTTGAAGCAGGAGGATAACCCAATCAACTTTCAAGAAACGAGGCAGGAGTTCAAAGGTGAGACTATTACAGTGATCTGGAAGAGAAATCATGGTGACTTGGACCAAGATGAGTGCAGAAGAGATGGAAGGAAGTCAACAGATTGGGGGAATATTTAGAATTAATATGACTTTGTGATTGTTTGGATGTGAGAATGAATAAGAAAGAATCATCACAGGGGTTTCCCAGGTTTCTGGCTTGTGCAACTGATACAATTTGCTGAGGTAGGAAGTACTAGTAAGGAAAACACATACACAAATGCATGCATACACAAGTTCCTGTGCACGCACAAGTGTGCACACACACACTCCTAGCAGGAGTTGAGAAGAGGATTATCTGTAATTATTTCATTCTCCTTTTTCTCACAGCCTCCTCTTCTTCCAGTAGAAAGGAAATTAAAGATTTTCCAGGAGCAGACAGATAAGTTTGTAATGAAGGCTTATGGAGCCACTCTGAAGTGGCTTCCACTTGGCTCAAAAAATTATGAAACAAAGTAAAAACCCCACCATAAATTGACTGTGATGCTATTCTACCTTACTTTTAGCTCTGATCTTTATATATGAGGGTCAAATATTGGGATATCTTAAAAAATTGCACTCGAAGTATTTCTATTGCCAAAAGAAGTTCACAAACTGCTGCACCTCTTAGGGGATTGTTTATTGGTGACAATAAATACTGCTTAAGAGAGAAAACCATTTCCTTCACAGGAGCAGACCAGTCCAGACTCAACCAACCTAGGACCTACTGACGACCAGTAGGGAATCCCACCCCAAGCCTCCATTCTGTTACATGTGACAATTCCAGGATCTAAATAATCAATCCTGACTTGTACCCCAGAACTTTAAAATTAAAAAAAGTAAAAAAAACCCAAAAAACTTCCAATGGGGTTTTTTGGGTTTTCCTAAATTTGTAATACAGGATCCTTGACCAAAAATTAATAAATTAATTAAACTTTATTTGAGCCACACCATATAAATATATGCATATAACATTACATGCTATACAAGTTTGCAAGTCATTCTCCACCCATCCCACATCTTGTCTTTCCAACTCCCAAGTATGTCAAATTGAGAAGAACTCCCAAGGTGGGACAAAAATTCATAGAGAGCATGGTACAACCTGTAAGTGCTCTGTGTCCCCAGAGGATCAGATAGGGTAGAGGTATAAGCAGATCTGGAAAACATCTGCTTCAAAGTTACACAAAAGGATTACTTTAACATCGTGAACTCAAGTCTAAATTCAGTTTTTAACTGATTCCTCAGCCTATTGGTTAATATTGAAGTGGAATAAAAAATACAGCCTCCTCAAAACACATTTTCTTAAAAGAAAAGAATCTCTAGAAGGCAATTTAATCACTTGTGATTTCTAAAGAAAAGTTGAAGATCTTTCTTTGTGTTATCGAGGGTTTTCATTTAAATAAAAAGGGTAATCCAGAGTTATGTTCTGCAATAAAATCACAAACATAGGCACATGTAAACCCTCTAATTCTATTCTGTGGTGTGCTGAATTCATGCTAGGGTAAAAAAGAAGTACAGCCACATTCCCTAAGGGTAACTTTTCCATATAGACCCTCATTACACTGACAGTTTTTTCTGTAAATATTTTGAATGTACACGATCAATTTCTGCCACTTGTCCAATACCTAGGAGTGCCTGACAACATTCTAACATGATTTCTGGACTGGTTTCAGAAACACGACTGGTAACTGTATCTACAAATGGCTGATCTACTTTAATGTGAGCTTAATTAATGCTGCATATGAAATTCCAAATGTCACAATCCAGGAGTTTTTAAATTTTAATTATTAGACTAGTTTAGTTAACTTATTCTGAAATGAAATTTGAATTTAATTTAATGTGAATATCAAATTATTTTACAATGAATTCCGTTTTTTAAGAGAAAATGACTTCATAAAATCTCTCCATTTTGATTTTAGCATGTGGATGAGAACTATATGAAAATGCCACAAATAATATGTGACTTTCACACCACAACTTGAACCACAAATTTGCAGGGGAGGGTTGGGTTGCCCAGTTATGACATCTGGTCACAAAGTCCAAGCCTCTGTTTGATGAAGTTTGAGATTAGGAGGTGAGGACTCCACCAGGACATCATGAGGTGAGTTGATCTGGTCACAGTCAAGTCTGTCGAGAAGTGTCACACAGACCACAGCAGCTAGAAGAGCAAGTAACACAACTAGTGAAATGAATGGATTTATATTTTCTACAGAAACATTGACCGAACACACCAACATCCACAGAACACATACTTTGTGTTGCTTTTCCTGTCATGTAGATGCTACCTGTTGAACCCTCTAGTCTTCTGTACAATTCATAACCTGTAGAATCCCATCAAACGCTTCACTTAAATAAGCTCATTGAAATTATGCAAACAATCCTCCTTTCCATTTCCTCCACAATTGGCTCAGGAAAGCACCTTGTTCAAGGTGAGACCAAGGAGAGAACTTTGCCATCTGACATGCATAATCTCCAGATTTCTATCCAATTTCCGGTTTTTTGAGAAAGCTCTTCTTACTGAGACTATAACTGGAGAGCTGGCCGTTATTCCTGAGGTGACATTTTACTCCTTGGTGCAATGTTTGAGTTTGCCTGGTGCAGCCTTTATAAAAAAGTAAAGTAAATAGAGAAGAGATATGGAATGCTGAATTCAGGAAATCCCAGTAACGGTGAGTACTGACTCTCATGAAATTTGAAGAGAAAAAACATGAAATAAAATGTTTAAACATAAGAATCAGCTCCACAAAAGAGCAGATGTATTAGCATTCAATTTCTATTGACTGGGAGTAAAATCTTAGGATAGATAAGAAACTAGGGAAGAAAGAATGAAAGCCTTAAAAAAAACTCTTATTTTTAAAAAGTCACCATGAGGGCAATGTCTTTGATTTCATCAGAGAGAAAAATTGGATTTCATACGAATTATTTATTTTGTTTCACATCATATCTTTGATTTCAAAGAATGTAGTTACCCATATTGAAATCAGTGTCAGCCATCTTGAATTGGTAACAGTGTAATAATTCTTATCTTCATCTGCATTGTTTTAAAAAGGATTTCAGTGCATATGGAATTGGATGTGTTTACATTTACAAGTTTTGAAGGGAGGGAGAGAGCATTGGGTGTGAAGGTAGTATTTATTTCTTTGCCCTCTCTCTACTACTTCAGATTTATTTGTAAGATCAAGATTTGGGAAGAAGTATACTATAATTATAATAGGACATGCTGCCTGATTTTATTTTTAATTGACAAATAATAATTGTATATATTTATGAGTTATAATGTGATGTTTTGATATATGTATACATTCTAAAATAATTAAATCAAGCTAATTAACATTTCTATCATTTCACATACTTTTTTGTGGTGAGAACAATTAAAATCTACCCTTTTAGAGATTTTGAAATATACATTATTATTAACTATAGTCACCATGCTGTGTAATAGATCTCTAAAATTTTTTCCTCCATGTAACTGAAACTTTGCACTCTTTGACCAACTTCTCTCTCTTCCCCATCCTATTCCCCCAGCCTCTGGTGACCAGCATTCTACTCTCTACTTCAATGAGTTTGATTTTTTTAGCTTGTACCTATAAGTGAGATCATGCACTATTTATCTGTGTCTGGCTTATTTCATATAACATAATGTCCTTTAGGTTCGTCAATGGCGTTGCAAATGACAGATTTTCCTACTTTTTAAGAACTAAATAGTATTCCACTGTGTACATATACCACATTTTAAAAAACCATTCATCTGTTGATGGATATTCAGGCAGATTCTGTATCTTGGCTATTGTGAATATTGTTGTGATAAACATGGGAGGGCAGATAATCTCTTCAACATACTGGTTTCATTTCCTTCATATATGTCTTTAGAAGTGGGATCATATGATAGTTCTGTTTTTAGTTTTTTGAGGAACCTCCATATTGTTTTTCATAATAGCTGTACTAACTGCATTCCCACCAATGGTGTACAAGGGTTCTTTTTTCTCTATGATATAATCAACATAGATTTTGTCTTTTTTGATAATAGTCATTCTAACAGGATTTGTATTTCAATGATGAGTGGTGATGTTGAGACTTTTTGTCATATATCTGTTAACCATCTGTATGTCTCCTTTTGAAAGATTTCTATTCAGGTCCTTTTCCCATTTTTAAATTAGGCTATTTGTTTTCTTGCTATTGAGTTTAGTTTCTTGTATGTTTTGAATATTAACCTTTTATCAGATGCATGGTTTGCAAATATTTTCTCCATGTAATTCTCCAAATATGTCTCCAACCCATGTATCTGTTTTTTTTTGGTTTAGTTATTACACACCAAACATTTATAATCTCATTTAATCCTTAGCTAGGTATGCTTTGTTTGTTTGTTTGTTTGTGTCCTCTTTCAACAGATGATGAAATTAGGGCTTAGAGAAGTCATCCAAATGGGCCAGTCTGACACAGCTAGTAGACAACCAGCCAATTCCCAGCTTCCTAAACTGCTAAGAGTTCTCTACCTTCCATCCACTCCTTCCCTGAGCTAGCTAGCACATGGTGAACCATTAGGCAAACCTGCCCTGACCTATGGGTCAGACTGACCCTCTTAGTCAGTGAAGTGAAAAACAATGAAAATATTTTACTTCAGCTGAGTCAAATATTTCATCACCTAGGACCCTATTTATTCAAAACTCAGTCAGTTGTAAAGCAACTTGGATGAACAGGTAAACAAGTAAATGGAAGAACTAGAAATTTCCCCCAGCTTTTCAAGTTAATGATCAGCAAGTCTGTGAAGCCTGACATGGGCTGGCAGTAGCAGGGAAAAGTTGAAAGTCCTTCTCTAATCCTTTGCTTGGAGCAGAATAAAAGGAAACCAGTGCTCTGTACTTATCACAGAGTGGGAGCCAACTTTACTAAATGTCTTTCCTGGATTTCAAGGGGAATGCCAAAGATGGAAAAGAACAGGTCATAGCAATCTCAGTGGTGTTTTCTTGACCCTGGAGAATCCACTAACAAGCAGCATATAATAATCTTGTCACCTAAAATTACTATTTCCATGAGCAATTAAAGGGGACTAATTACCTAAAACAGTTTACTGAAATTAAGCCTGACAGCTCTGCTACCATAATCCTCAGATTAGGCAGGGAGGGTGGTTCCTGGGGAGGGAGGGACACTTAGTGACCTAACTGTCACCAAGGAGGTTGTCAGCTAACTGACCTAAGGCTGGAATGCTATGGGAACACACAGATCAGACCATGAAGCTTGACATACCCTGAGGCACACCAGGAGTGCCCGGTGAGTCTCAGCTCTTTGGTCTCATTGATGGCCCCTTTGAGAATCTGATGAAAGTCACAATTAAAACCTCTTTTTACACAAAAAATACGCGTATGCTTATATACATAAATTCTTCATATATAATTTAGGGGGCTGAGAATCCCTGAAAATCTACTCATGAATCATGAACCGTGGGCAAAGATAGTAGGACTATGCACAAGAACCCTTGTCCAGAGCAGAAATCCCCAGGGCTGGCCTTTGGAAAATGGCACAGCAGCAAAGGTTAACTTCAGAGTTCCCATTCTGGCCCTTTCTATCTGCTCCTGGTGTTTTTCATACCACCCTCCTCATTGCCACTCAAGGGCTTGAGTTTATTAAGCAAACATCACCTTTGTTCCCCATATGTCTAGTATATAAAGCATAGGAACCATTTTTTAATCAACAACTCAGAACCTTTGCACTCCTGTATCTCTGCTAAGACATTAACCTCAGGCTGTGTGCTGCTTATTAAAAAGCAGGAGGAAAAATTGATATTCCAAGGGCCTGATCAGGGCTAAGGGACATACAAGCAATTTGTTCTAGATTGGTGCTTCTCAAATGTGCTCCACTGACCACCTGCCTCAGAATCAAAGATTGTTCATAATTCAGTTTCTTAGGCTTTATCCCAGACATAGAAAATCAGAATTGGGGGTTGGGTTGGGAACAGTCAGTGAATCTTCATTAAAAATATCTTCCCATGAAAAGTATTTGCACATTAATATTTGACAACTACTGCTTTCAAAACGTTAAGCTCTATCTCTGACTCAAATCAAGTCACCACGAATGTACATACCTGTACTCCTGTTCTTTGGGTGCCCAAAGAAAAGTTAGATTAGATGAAACCAATTCATTCTACCTATGAGGAATTGTTCCAAATCCCTTATTAAAGTGTTAATAAAGATACTACCCATTATACAGCTGATAATTTCACTTAAGTTTAACATTGGGATAAAGTTTAACATTTGGATAAAGTTTTTGTAACAAACCTCAAATGCTTCCTTTTTATTAGATAATGAGAGCCGCACAACGCAAAGCGTTTTAATTTTCAGCTCGACCTCCCGGAAACCTGGGGCTAAATCTGTGTATTTCAATTTACTATTGCCCTCCTACGTAGCCTTATTGATATGTAAACCCTCCCATCTACTCCCTTAAAAGACATTTTCTTTTTAGTTTTTTTTTTTTACCTCTGTTTAAATGATTTTATTGTGCATTCCTCTTTCATTGAAAGCTGCCATGAAAGCTTTTTCAAATAGAGGAGAGTGCAAGTTATCTTTCCATAGATAAATGTATTACTTTTTTTACACCTTATGGAATAATGGAGAGTGGTAATCAGGAGACAAGAGATCTCAGTTCCAGTCCATCTCTGTTTCTGTCTAAGTATGTTCCTCAGGCACCCAGTTACACACTCTAGACCTCTTTTCATTTTCTGAGCAAGGAGCAGGTTAGATCTCAGAGATTTCTCCCAAGTTCACATCCTCAGTTGATGTGTCTTACACCATCTTGTCATGTCAAGAGTCTGCTGTTGTCTCCAGGAGGTCCAGCTGCAACTCTGGGGACTTGAGCTTCTGCTGGATGTGGTACCCCCGGTCAGAGATGACACAAGACAGGCAGAGGATGAAGCCTGATGTACTGGGATGGGGAGTGGAAGGCTCAAGTACGGGGAGGCTTCACTGGAATTACAGCATGGGAGAGGAGGGTCACGGGTGATGCCAACCACACAAAGAGTTGGATCAACGACCTAAATGATTCTCTGATGTATGAGTGTGTTAATGCTGGGGAGGAAGGAGTGGGACAGAAGCTAGGAGAGTGAGTGAAAATGAGTCAAAACTATAAACCCTGGCTTTGATTAAAAATATGTAAAAACAAAACCAA